CCACCACCCCCTCCCCCCGCCGCAACCCTATTCCAACCTTATTTGTTGACATCCGTCCGCTTCCGTGTGCCTGTTCGTCAATCCCTTGTGGTACTTGTTTGGATTTGTCTTGTGTTTTTGTTCTATTGACACTGTTCTCCCGATTTGCCGACGTCACTTTGTTCTCATCTTTATCTCGTCAACCGTGGATCTGAAACCACACATACACACATGTCATCTGCATTTTTGTGTGCGTGTCATTAATCAAACCGAACGGGTACACTTGAAAATCTGCGTGGTCCAAATTTTGAAATAACCCATTTGCATGTTCGTTGCCTCGGTTCTGTGCATCCCGCGCTCCAATCGCGTTCTGGATTCTGGAATCCCTCTATCAAAACAACGGGTATGCGGATTTGTTTAAAATTCCAGGGATGAGGATAACGATTTGCGGGCAAAATTGCGCTCCAAATTGACTGCCGAATCGGATGATTTTCTCGGTCAAGCGATAATTGAGTTACGGACACTGTCCGGGGAGATGGATGTGTGGTATAATTTAGGTCAGTGGATGGCACACCTCGCTTGATCCTCTTCACTCGTACTCACAACACTGCCTTTCAAAGATAGCTTTTTATACAAAGTTTGTGAGAACGCCGTTCAGTAAATTTATTTTAGGCAATGCATGAAAACAAAAGACATTCATCATCCCCTCGGTTGATTATAACTGCTGATTATTGTGCCGTGCAAACCAGCTCGTCGCTATATAATTTTAACACTTGAGCGAACCGATGAAGCTAACAGGTAATGGGAGGACAGAATACCCATATTATCCACCAGTCTTTCGATAAATTTCAAAATTTCGATTTTATGAACTGTACTGATTCACTAGGCTTTGAGATCATTCTTTTGTTATCATGATTTCTAATGATCTCATCACCGATTTTTGTATCATGGAAAATATTTAGGACTGAAATGCCGTTCCAATCATCACTGAAAGTGGAGAATAACTGGACAGTTATCAGAAAGCATTTTTCATAAATTCGAGAAACCGGGAGTCTCTCGGTTCTTGGTTTACTCTATTTGCTCCCTACACTGAAAGCCTTGTTTTAGCTGATTCACAAAAAAACTGATCATGGTCAATCTTTGCTGGCTTCTTACGAATTCCTGCTATTGCACAATTTGTTATTTTCTTCTAGAATTTTGAGTCAATTTTAACTAAGTCATAGTTCATTTTGATGGAATCGATGCTTTCACACTCGAAGAGTGTTTCCATTAATAATGAAAACAACTGTGTGATGCTGCTATGAGCGAATGCAAACTGGTCAAAGTTTAATGAGGTCCACGGTGAATTAAAAGTCTAAGATTCACCCATCAGCTCTTCTGCTCTTTACATCCAAAGATATTCGTAAAAATCGAACCCTTTTTTTCCTACTTGAAAACAACTTTTAAGCTCCCCTGTATATTTCTCTTCGTTGGTCGAAGAAAACGCTGTAACTGTCAGTAAACAAACGATCAATCAAGCTGTATAAATTTTGTTTTAATTTTTTGGTGAAAAACTGTGTTCATACTAAGTAATGTGAATCAACTTCATACAGTTCCCTTGTGAATGCCTACAGAGTATACACGTTTTTCACCCCCTACTTGTCGTTGCACCGTGTCGTTCCACTGTAGCTGTGTGCTTGTCTCTATTTGTGTTCATAAAGTTCTGGATCTTTTTTGGTATTATTTGTTGTCTACCCGCAACTCGTGATTCCATGCCACCGGAACATCACTGTGCCAAATTCGATTTTACATTGAATGTGAGCATTTATTTAACAGTTCAACTCATTGCATTCTACTGCTTCTACTCCTACTATTGTTTCACACGCACAGAAAAAAGGACCGACAAAAGTGCGGTTTCTGGCGCGATTCGCCTTTTCATTTCTGTGGAAATAAAAGGTGAAGAAAAGGTTGCTCCGTATCATGTTCAGTACACGTGTCTTCACGAGGTGAGCTCATGAATGGAACAAAATAAATTTGCAAGATGGTTTTTATGCCTTTAAATGAGACGCTTCGCTCTCAGCATAGCTAACTGTTGCTATATATATGTACTTTCGTCAGTTATTGTTTTGAACGGCTAACTGTTAGCTGAACTCAAGCATGCTGGTGGTAGCTGAGGCCTTTCTCTAACATAGTCAGTTCATATCTGGCTATCCAGTACTCTCAGTATGGACAGGGGTGGATCTTTTCAGTTTTAGCCGGTCGCGCATCCATCGCAGCGCACCAAAGGCGTCTAGACGATAAAGCTCTTCAAATAACCTCTGCCTTCCAATGGCTGTGTTTGCCCATCAAAGTAAGAGGTTGAAAAACCGGGTCCATGACCAATTCGCAGCTCACTTAGAGCAGTTAAACAAAATTCCTGATTTCGAACCAATGGATAAAAGGCGTACGATCCGCATGCACCCACGCCCTGTTGGTGATAACAGTGGTCAGTAGCTCAAATGGGGATCGATTTGTTTGGGCACTTTTGGAAATGGTTTGCTCGATAAAGGAATATGTCACCCTAGAACTTGTCGGCGGACCTCATCATCACTTACGCATTGCTCGCACCGCAGGCGGGCAGTGTTGCGCAGTCAACGACTGTCGAAGACGGATAGTGGTTGAACATGATCTTCTCAGCGAGGCCAAGTTTCACAGCCGTAGAACAACGCAGTGCGAAGAGTTGCGCAAAACACACTGAAATGCTATTTTGCTCCAGGCAACATAAATTTGCAAACGCCCATCTAGCTTCAATTATGCTTCGAGAAATCTCCTCTCCCCCATGTTTCTCAGCCGTTATGCAACTACCCCGGTAGGAAAATATTTCAACTACTTCCAACAAAAGTGTAGGAACAGGTCCCTGTACATCTAGCAGAGCATCATACACTGAAGATGCGAAGGGCGTACCATAACGAGCAACTTCATGCATACCCAGACGTCTTGTGGCTTTTCAGGGTTTGGAGTTTCTTTGTGATCTCCGCTTATGTGGGCGGTTACTTGGATAGTTATCAAGGTGCAAGAGAACTACTTGGAGCAGCCAACACGGGAGGCTAGTTGAACTGCGATGTGAATTACTCTGTGCAACGTTCCACGCCTGAGGGAAAACTGAATAATAGCGTGCCGTCTACTTCGCAGATTATTTCACTAACACTACTAACAAAGATGAGTTGGCACAGTTGCTTAGTGTTTCCATACCTAACTACCGAATTCATCTCATTTTCACTCAGCATTAACCAGGCTTCTCGGTCGTCTCTCAAGCTCCTTTTATATCCATGCTTCAGCCGCTGTTCACTGTACTCGTCTTCTGCCGAGATCAGCCATATTTGTCAAGAAGTCTGAGATGGTTGGATGAGAGTCTTTTACACTTCGGCAGGCCAGGCCACAACGGNGTTGTGTGCATTGCTTTTTAAGTAGTTGTCTAGTGGTGATTTCTTCTCTTTCCCGGGGTTTTAATTAGCCCTGCGGCCAGTGTTTTGGCAGTTGGCCAGCACGGTAGATCAGAAAAATTTGGCGACATCAAGCTGTTTACACCACATCTTTTTGCAGTCACCAAACCGTATAGACAACTTGACACAAATCATTGCGTGATCCAAGTTCAAGCAGGTAGACCAATACGAACGGCAGTTTTTCACACACCCTCTACTTGTGTTTAATAGCTGAGCTCAGTTATGTGCCAAATAGGAGATACTCCAAGTGGTGAGGTGATGCTTTTGGTGTCTGGAATTCATGCTAATGAGGACCAGGCTGTATTTTGAGCATGTATTAGGAATTCTTCCCCCATTATCTGAACACCGCCTGTGAAGACCATGATAGTTATAAAGACGGGTCTCCTCGGACAACATACGGCCTCCGTGTGCGTTTAGCCCTCTGGCCAAAGCCACGATGTCCGTCTTAGGTGCTTTGAGAAGAAGCTCTTGTAAGCTGTTCCATAAAGCATGTTTGCTTGTATTCGGGCCACAGTCTGTAGGAGCACATGCAAACACTATGATTAAACATTGCTCGTTTGATTTTTGCCTGTTGACTTTACTTGAGACTCCGATTCTCCCTGCACATAGACGGTCGTCTACCTAGATCCAGCCCGATAGACCAGACGCCGTCCTGGTGCCCCAGGCAATACTAACGCTGTTTGACCAGACGCGACAGGATCCCCGGAAACGCTGGTTGAAATGCATCTTTCGGATCCGGAGAAAACCTTCATCGGATCACTGAGCCCAGATCCTGAATGCGTGTTTTTGAGAGGCTACACACATCAACCCGTATAACTTCGCTAAAGATAATCGTTACCTACAATTTGAACTTGCATCAGTGGAACCATTCAAAATAGTACGTATAAGGGACACAGTGGGGGTGGAGTGTGTGGGGATAAGTGAAAGTGCTGCGTGCAGATTCTGATAAGAGGCAGTTTTGCCTGAGTGTAAGTCTGTGATATATGTGGTTTTGTTGGTTCATGGTTATCTTGTGGGTTCAAACCTTAATTCATACACGTAATTGCTCGCATTTTGCCTTAATTTATGTAGTGGTATCTTCCACATAAATTATGATGAATGTATATCGTTCTTTATCTAAGTTTTTAAAAAAAACAGGCTAATACACTATATGAGAATCTCTGCGAATTGTATTTTTAAAATTGTATTTCAAACATACCACTGATTGCCTCCCATTTTTGAAATATAGCAGTTTGGGATGTGCAACTTTTTTTCTGTTGCGAGAAAGATTCAGCATTTAATAGATTTGAGCGAGCCCATTCCGTCGTTCACCAACATCCTCATTCTGTTTGTCTTTCATGTGCTATATTGCCCGAAGGGTGTTCATTTTGATGCTTTATTCACCCCCTCTTCCGCCCCCATTAATGTTTGACCTGCCTTCTGAACACAGAACATGTTCCATTATTTGTGTGAGACGAACAAGAGTAAAGGAGAAGCGGAAGTCAAAATCCCGGATGCTACCGGAGTAAGTGGTTTTCGAACAGTCTTATCACAATATATATTGAAGCTTTTCAAAATTTTCTCGCTCGTTAATAGCAGATAAGTAGACGATAGATTACTTATTTTCGAGTTCATCTAATCGTAATGTTGTGTTTTTCGGAATGCGAAGAACGTGGTATGTGGTCAAGGTTTATGCACCATTCATTATTTACCAGGCATACAATAATTCAAATGCGTTACAGGGAAACTGTGCTTCCAATTTCTCATATAATGGTTGTTGTAGAAATCGACCCAGGCCCACCCCACGAATCCAGCGTGGGTGATGTAGCGCAAAAGAAAAATTAGTCCGTCGGCACATGCTTCTAACTGATCCTGCATAAATATCTCATTTCCCGAACATATTCTGTAAAATGCAAAGACGAAAGCATATTCTCCAAGGAATAAATGACCGTAGCTATATATAAAGATCTTAGTGGGGATTCTATGAAATAAGTCATTACCTTAAAACCGGCTAGTAAACTCCGTTTATGTGAGTGATCCACCTGTTGCGTAAATTAATCCTACCAATAACTCAGTTCAATGTGATAATACCTAATGCGCATTGCCACCAATTTGTGTCCTCCTGAATATGCCAGAATTCACAAAAACTACTGAATATCTTTAGTTTTAATTGTGGTTTCCGTCGTCCATCTGATCCATACTCAATCCGCATTCGGTTTTTTTGGATTAGGATGAAAGTTGGAAAGTCTACTTCGATCATCCAGCCCAGGAGATTGTGACTGAATTCGCCATTCGCTATGGAGTAGAGTCCATATATGAGGCCATGACGTAAGTGCGTTTACCGGCAATTGGCCAATGTTGATGAGAATTCATTATTCGCTGCAATGGCACTGATCTTTTTCTTTTCCTGATATCCTTAGTCATCCTACTCCCATTTGGATTTAAAGTACGCAAGTTTAAAAAGTACTGATCTGATTGGTGCAGTAAAACATTTTGGTGAACCGTAATCTAATGTCGGAAAATAAAAACCAGTTGTTTAGTGCCTTCATCAGCTGCCTTACGAAAGCAGTAAACCCAAATTATCGACCAAGCCCGATCAAAACACGCCAGAGAATTTCTCG